AAAAAAAAACAATTTAATGGATATTTCTTTTCAAAACAGATGTTTCGCATCAACAGCATTTGGAAAAGCCATAATACTCTTATGGGCAATATTTCTCACGATAACGCATATAAATTGGGCAGAAAGTTGCTGTATTTCTAGAGTTAAAAGTTAAGAACTACTAGCATGACTTAGTCGTTTTTTTTTCTAAAGCTTGTTTTCAGACCAATTATTAGAAATTTGTCAAAAAAAATTTGCTCACTTTTCCTGGCCATTATCAGTCTTATCAAGTGGTGATGAAAAGTAGCGTGAAATTACAGAATTATTTTAAAAAATATAGCTCAAAAAATTCCACTTGCTTTTGAAATATCACATTTTACATTGGGACTTGAATGCTCATTTATTTTGAGTGCCGCCAAAGATCATCGATCCGGCATTCCGAACCATTGAATCTGTGCTTAACCAGACGGTAAATATAGAATGTAGGACAACTGGCATGCCGATGCCCAAGATTACATGGTTCTTTGACGGACGAACGGTTTTCCCATCCGAAAAAGTACAGGTAATAAAACCCATTGCTTCGTACTATGTTGATATTTTTATTATTAATGCTATATTTGATATTACCACTGTTTGTTGTTGTAGGTAAAGCTAGCACACTAAAAACTGTAGAAACAATAGCCTGTGACGGGAATCAACACGAAAATTATCCCCTTTTTCAGTTTATCTATTTCTTCTGACCATGAATTGGTACTGGCATATGCCAGGGAGTAATCACTATCTGCATGCTTCTAAGTAATTTCCAAAAGAGGAGCCATTGGTAGCCTTACGAGTGTGTGGTAGCTTTTGATACCGCTTGATTTGCTATCGTTCGAGTGCCTTCGTCTTTCACGACAAATATATTACGGAAGGGATTTGACTTTTTAATAAAAAAACAAACAATCTTGTAGCGGAAGTGATCAAAATAAAAATGAAATTATTGTTGCATCTGGCTGGTCTTTCACCCAGGAATTCTAAATTTGGTGGGACTGGCTGCTGAGCTTTTGAATCACTCCTATGGCCGTTAATGTTCGCGGTGGATTTGAACATCCATTGTTTTCTCCTAATGTGAAACCCAAGCTGGAACGCGCCGGACGAGTCCGTGCAATCATGCGTTTTTGCACCGGACTTGAAGTACTCAGGTCTTTAACTGCATGAATGGTTGTTGCTTTACACCTGCCTTTTGCAGTCACTAGCATAAATCACCATAAATTTTGCATAAAGTAAATGCACAATTTCTATTTAATGGTCGTTCTTTAAAAGTAACTTAGCTGTTCAGTGAAGGATTTTTCCGCCAAAACTTTAAGTGCCCGCACGTAAGGACCATGCATATCTCAAGACTGAATTTGAAATGCTTAAGTTGTACTTGGGCAGGGAACATTCCCCTGAAATTTCAGCTTTCTAGCTTTTCTGGATCTCGAGTTAGTAATTCTCCCGTAGAAACTTTCATATGCCCTAACGTGACTACCACGCATAACTGGGAGCTGAATTTGAAATATTTAAGTTGTACTTGAACAGCCTCCCGGAATTTCAGTCTTCCAGCTTCTCTAGTTGCCGAGTTAACAATTCTCCAGCCAAATTTTCCACTTGCTCGTGCGTAAGAACTACGCTAACCTGTGGGCTGGATTTGAAATATTTAAATTGTACTTGGATGGAGAACATTCTCCCAAAACTGCAGCTTCCTGGCTTTCCTGGTTCCTGAGTTAGCAATTTTCCCACCAAAACCTTCATGCGCCCTTGCGTGAGTACCACGCATACCTAGGGGCTGAATTTGAAATCATTAAATGACGCATGCACAGGAAACATTTCTACAAAGTTTCAGCCCCTTACCTTGGTCTGTTTCCCGAGATCGCTTTCCCGCGAAAAAACTTGCGCATTTTTTTAAAACGTCCGCGCGAGGATGATATTAAAACGGGAGTGCGCGCATGGTATGGGCACATATTCCCAAAGTTTCAGCCTTCTAGCTTTTCTGGTTCTCGAGTAGAAAGTGGATGACAAAAAGTGCGAACACACAGACACACGCACATACATACACATAGCCTCTTCCCAGTACGCGTTTTTGCAATTTGCACATATGCAAAAACGCATAAAGACGGTCTTCGATTCTTATTTTGCATTTAAGAAAGGAGAATAGTTTTTTATGCATGGTTTTTTTAATATTAAAACTTCAAAAAAAAATACACATATACATTTTTCGTTTTGGTAGGTTCTCAACAATGGCACATTACTGGTGCTGAAAGAAGTACAAGTGGTTCAGGAAGGACGATACTCTTGTATGTCGACAAATAAAGTGGGGAGAGCTGAATCTGACACATTCCTGCAAGTAACAGGTTGTCTTTTTCGCTTGAAACGCAAAATAAATATTTGAAGAGGCAGAAAATCGGATGACACGACTACGAACGTCAGTTGCTTAGGGAGCATAATTTAACAGCACTTTTTTAGCAAATGCTGAAGTTCATACATTTTTAAATGTTTTAAATTTTCCAGAATTTTTGCATTGCATTTTTGCACTAATATTTGCCGCGGCAGTAAGCGATGCATGATATTTTACAGCACCGCCACGAATAATAACTCCAGCAGATGAGCTGAAAGTAATCCAAGGGCAGGGACAAACAATCCGATGTGAAGTAAGTGGAACGCCACCTCCAAAAGTGGTTTGGCTCAAGAATGGGCAACGTTTTGATGCTGCCATGACACAGTCGTCCGGCAATCTACATTATATCCATCTAAGGTTTGTTAATCGTCATCGCGTCAGAACTATCCGCAAAAACTATTATTACCCTTTTGGCTGGCTCGAAAAATAAGCATGTTTGCTGGAAAAAGATTAATATGTTGTCGCAAAACAGACAGTCACAAGAGCAAGCCATTATCGGTGGTGAATTTCTTGACAGTACTTTATTCTGAAGTGAGTTGATGGTGGTTTTGGCTTCCTAAATGTACGAGTAATCTTCAGCACGAGAGTAGCGCAAATTCTCACTAGATCATGTGCACTAGCGAGCTTCTTATATGATCTTTTGTGCATATATGTGTGTAGGTATAATTTTGTAGGACGTGGACCATTAGGAAACAGTAGGCATCCAGGATGTGCCAAATGGTGCGCTGTAAAACATGTTGCAGAGAAGTCATTGTAATAAAATTTATAATAAATAAGTAGCGGCACGCACCAGGGCAGCCGGTGCGATCATGCGTTTTGTGCAATTCCGTTCACCGAAAGATTGCCTGATAATGATTTTCACTGTCCCGTCGAAACTTTCATGGGGCCATAAATCGTACTCGGACGCGCGGGAGGCTGAATTTAAAACTGCAAGATTATATGTGGATAGAAGACATTACCATAAAATTTAGCTTCCTGGCTTTTATGGTTCCAGAAATGATAATTTCCCTACCAGAATTTTGACGGGGCTCTAGGTGATACTCGAGAACGTAAGAACGTTGAATTTGAATTTTCGATGTCGTACGTCGGTAGGGGGTCATTAGTCCAAATTTTCAACTTCCTGGATTCCATGGTTCCCGAGATAATAATTTGCCCGCCAAAAGTTTCACGGGGCCGTAAGTGATACCCGGAAGCGCGGGAACGCTGAACCTGAACGAGCAAGATCGAGCGTGGGCAGAGAGTTATTACACTGAAATTTCAGCTTCCTAGACTCTGTGGTTCCCGAGATAATAATTTGCCCGCCAAAAATTTTCAGGGGAGTGTGCTTGTTACCCGCAGGCAGAGGAAAGCTGAATTTGAATTTTCTGGGTAGCACTTGGGTGGGGGACATGCTTATAAAATTTCAGCCTTCTAGCTTCCGTGGTTCCCGTAATAATGATTTTACCCGCCCAAATTTTTACGGGGCCGAACGTGTTACTCGCGGGTGCAGGAAGGCTGAATTTAAATTTGCGAGGTCGCGCGTAGATGGAAGACGTTCCCCTAAATTTTCAGCTTCCTAGCTTTTGTGGTTTCCGAGTTGAAAGTTACGGAAAAGTTACTGCGGACACACACACACACACACACACACACAC